CCCGGCCAATCAACTACCGCCCCGTGTACTAACCACCCTCTCCCGGAACCCGGCTCTATATCAATGTATGCTTCTCCCCAAATAAAGCGGAACTTCTCCGATGAACTGTCAGCTTGGGTCCTGTCATCCTTTCAATAATGATTGAATTTATATAAAATTCTAGAATAGGTAGAACTAAACTATGGTGATAGAAAACAGATCAGTAGTTGCTTCTTGAGGGTGGAAGATTGGGAAGAAACTCAAGGGAAATTTCCGGAATATTCAATAGGCATTTGTAACAGTAGTTGAATAGGACATGATATCTGATCATCTTACTATGTATATGTACAACTCAAAAAAGTTGAAGTACACAAAAAAGAAAGAAAGAAAGGGCAACTGCTATGGCTTGAATGTGTCTCCCAAAAGTTTATGTATTGGAAGCTTGACTCCCATTTTAACAGCACTAGGAGGGTGGGAAACCTGACTATGGTATTTGAAAGGTGGGGTCTTTAAGGGGTGATTAGATTGTGAGGGCTGTACCCTTGTGAAAAGACTGATCCATTCATAGAGTAATGGGTGTGGTTCTGGTGGCTTCATAAGGAGGGCAAGTGAGCAGGTTAGCACTTGCTCAGCCTGTTCTCTCACCAGTGTTACCCTGGTCACCATAGGACTCTGTAAAGTTCCCACCCTGAAGAAAGCCCTCACCAGATGTGTTCCCTGGACTTTGGACTTCCAAGTCTCTGAAATTACCTGGTTTCAGGCATTCTGTTATAAGTAACAGAAACAAACTAATAACAGCAACCAACTGGTGAGTTTGGAAGATCATTTTCTTACAAATGGCTTTCCACTGGTTTTTCCTCATCCTCTCCAAAACTTATGTTTTTGGTCTTTTTCATTTTAGCCATTCTGGTGAGTGTGAAATGCTATCTTACTGTGGCTTAAATTTGTATTTCCCTCAAAAACTATGAAGTTGAGCACCTTTTCATATGTTTATTGACCTTTGGATATCATCTTTTAAAGATGTCAGTCCATTTTTCTATTGGGCTTTTTTTTTTATTTGTAGGAGTTACATATTCTGATATACTCCTATGTAGAAAATACCTTCTCCCACTCTGTAGTTTGCCTTTTCACTCTCAGTGGTGTTTTTTGACGAACAGACATTCTTAACTTTCATATAGTTCAATTTATACATTTTCCGTTTATGATTAGTGCTTTTTTGTATCCTGTAATAAACTTTTCCCCAAATTCCAGGTTGCAAAGATGTTCTCTTACGTTTATTATTGCTTGGCTTTCAAAATAAGATTGACAATTCAAGAAATAAATGTATTTTGTTTATAATGTGATGAAAGAGTCCAAATAAAGTTTTTTTTCCATATGGATATCCAAATGGTCTAGGAACATTTTTTCAAAAGATAATCTTTTCTCCATTGGTGCATGTCCTGGAAGACTTGTAAAAAATGCATTTTATATTTACAATGTAAATTATATGTAATAAATGGTTCAAAACCTATAAGCACATATGTATTTATGTACCATAAATAATTTAACCAATTCCTTTAAAGTAGACATTTAGACTGTTTCCATTTTTTGTTTGTGTTGTTATTAAGGTGCTAAATGAACATTTTGTTCAAAGTCAGTGCCAGTTGTTTGTTTTCTAAGGATAAATTACTAGGGGTGGAAATTGCTGGGTTAAAGTGCATGCCTATTTTAAACTTTGCCTTCTGTAAGGTTTATATTAATTCTTACTCCCACCTACCTGTTTCTCCCTATTCTCACCAAAAGTAGCATTATTGATCTTTTTATTTTTTGCTAAACCTGGTAAAAAGAAAACTTATTGTTTTCATTTCCATTTTTAAAAATAATTGGTTAAACAGCTTTTAAAATCCCTATTGGGGGCCGGCCCAGTGGTGCACTGGAGAGTGCGCCACTTGGGAGTGTGGCGGCGCTCCCGCCGAGGGTTCGGATCCCATGTGGAGACCGGTTCACTCACTGGCTGAGCGTGGTGCGGGCGCAACACCGAGGGTTGCGATCCCGTTACCGGTCAGTAAAAAAAGACAAAAAGGAAAAAAAAATCCGTATTGGTTATTTGTTTCACTTTTTTTTTTTTTTTTTTTTGGACTGCCTGTTCGAATATTCGTCCATTTTTCTTCTGAGGTTGTCTTTTTTTTTATTGGTTATAAATATATATACACATACAGATATATGTAATAACATTATCTCGCAGTTTCTGTAGTTTGGCCTTTAACCTCATATTGCTGTTCGAGCTCCGGTTTTTAACCCAGTCTGTACTAGGAACTAACACCCGACCAGACAGCGCTAGAACGCCTTTGGGTCCAGCCATCGGTCTGTCCCATACCATCCCACCACCCCTCCCCCTCCTCCCCCACCAGCGTTTCCTAGCAACGGCCCTGCCACCAGGGCTATTTTGGGAACTGCAACTTTTCATTGAACATGATTATGAGCCGGAGCTCTAAGCACAGCCCAGAAAAGTCCTGTGAGGGCTGCGAAGCCTCAGGAGCAGGTGGAGG